ATGAATGCAAACACAGGTGGTCTGACTTCTTCACAATCGTCTATGTTTGATCTCCTGGCTAGACAGGGTTTACCGCCACTTGCATATAGAACATCGAGACCATCTCAGAACATGTAATGATATGAGCATGCTATTTGATTTTTACCTAATCGAACTGTAGTAATGAAACAATAACAATTATGAACAAATGCATGTTTTGCCACGTCTTGGTTCTATTTTTCTTCCAAAACATAATACGACCCATTTCTATGATCTCTTATAAGTAATTTTAGATGCGGTATTTTTGTCACTTGATCATTTCTTCTGAACACTTTTCTATCAAATAAATAAAGTCACAAACAAAAAGATAATGTTACAAAGCAATGTTCTCTTTGATAACATAATCCGCTAGGATGTCTGTTTAGTACTTCTTGAACTAATTAAGACATTCAATTTATTGTTATATATTATTCGACTAGAATGACATATTTTTAATGACTTCGGTGTAGGTTCTGCATTCAAAAGTCAAAGTTATTTCATCGATGGCTTTTTAGCACGATGCATAAGTCATTACATGTTGACGAATGCATTAAGGCTCTGTGAATGTATACTACAAATCTCTATTGTTAGTTCACCAAATCACATGATAATGCATCAAATTCTGAGCCATAAAATGGAATTAAGTTGAAAATATTAATTGTTATTTATTAAAATATGTTCAAGTACTGTTTAATTCTCTGTCAATAATCAAAAACAAGTGTCTCATGTAGTTAGATTGTGGTATCTTATTTCAAAGTCTAATTAGCTACTAAAATCTATCAAAATCAAAGAAACAATAGATGAGGTCGTAATTTTCTTACATTCGTAACTTGTTGTTTTTAAACAAAGAATAAGATAAAATTTTTTAAAAACTCTGAAAAAAAAGACGTATTGATAGACTAAAATCAACAATGTCAAGATACGAAGATTAACAATACATAAATAGCTTATACTTATTGAAAATTTATTTCTCTTAATTAAGAAAAAGTTTTAGATGAAGAAAAAAATGATAATAAAGTCATATTGTCAGATTTTTATGATTATATCATTGAAAATTCAATGCAAAAGAAGACAAAAACAGTTGAATCGATTAAATATTTAGTTTAAATCCTTTTTTAACATTACCAATATACAGGAGTCGTGTTTTGCCTTCCAATGAAAGTTTATTTTCATGTAAATCAAGTTGTTGTAATTTTTTATTATTGTTAAGCATTTTTTCAATTGCATTGATACATTTATCGTCTAGCCTATTTCCAGTTAAACTAAGTATTTCAAGAGTACTTTGATTAT